TGGCCCCAAAAATTCCGGCAGCCCCCCTTTTGAAGGTCCCCCCCCCCCCCCCCCCCCCCTACCGCTTCCTCCGCCCCGCCAAATATGCCTCCCGCCCCACCGACGACAGGCGTCGAACGCGGCCGACCTGGTGCTGAGGAGGGGCACGAGGCAGGCCGTGGTGAGGGCCAAGGACCTCCTCCGCCCGCCCCCGCCCCCTCTCCCATTCCTGCCGCGGCTCCCTTCGCTGCCTTTCCCGGTGCCGGAGTCGGTCGTCGACGCCCTCAGCCCCAAGCTCACGGTGGAGGAGGTGTGTGACAAAATAGTGGCTTTAGAAAGAAGTCCAAACGCTAGATAGACCGCACACGAAAATCTATTTTTTTTTGGGTAGAGGTGTGTGCGCCTATGTTTTTGGGTGTGTTTGTTGATGCAGGTTTGCTTGCGTTTCTGCTAATATTTCACCAGCTGACGCGAGAGGCGATTGGTTGTTTAATAATAGCCGTGTCTGTTATTTTGTTGTTAGTGTGAGAGGCTTTTTATGTACATAATTTTTTTTGTTGGTACATGATTGAGTGAGTGGACGCTCGGTGGTTTCAGCTGGTGGCCGCGCGGCCTCCTGACGTTTAGCCACATCCATACATGCATGAGTGCGAGTGTTGATGCAAGTCATTCGAACTCTGGGAGTTTGCCTTCTTCGCATCATGCTTCACAGAACTGCGCAAATGGAATAGATTATGTCGTGTGTGGCGCATGTAGAGGATCCGAATTCTCCAAGATCGACGAGGGAAAGGAACCGCTGAATCCTTCTGACGATGGAATTGACCGTTTCTCTTTTTTTTTGTTCAGGACATTTTCCTCGCGAGCCTTGAAGAGTTGGCGTACGCGTTGGCCGGGATCGAACAGGGAACGGTAAGCGACGATCCCTTGGCGACGATACGACAGCTCCTGCAGGCGGGAAGCGACGGAAGCGGCGGCGCGGGGGGTGAGAAATGGACAAGCGGAAAGGGGGCGGTGTGGGTGACAGGGGGGCGTAGGTTAGTCGGCGTGGGAAGGTGGTCGCAGTCTTTACGTTATATATGGCCCCACGCATGCCTGAAGGCCGGGAAGGGGGCACACAGTTGCGAATTCCGCCCGGGTGTATGCTACACACACCTTGAACAAGTCGCCCCCAGCCGTACCCCGTATGCGTGGCAGTTTTTTTGCGTTCTGTGTACGTGTGCAGATTTCAAGTGAGCGTCAAGAAAGGGACGGCAAAACTCGCAGTTAGCACCTAAAATGTGGCCGCCCTTTCTTTCCACTCGTTCTCTCCGACACGACTAAACGAACGAACGCACCGGCCCCCCTCCCCATTCACCCCCCTCTCTCCACGGTTTCCTCTGCGGACCCCCCACCCCCTGCCCGATTCGGCGTGGACCCTGTGTGGAACTCCCAGAACTGGTGGAATTTGTGCGAACGCTTCCGGGGGACTCCGAAAAGACGGAGGCAATTTTTGATGTGAGTTTTCACTTTTTTTTGGGGGGGCGGGGGCGGGAGGGGGGAGTGCGTCCTGTAGGTATAGGTGTGTGTGAGTCGCCCCTACTGGTTGTGTGCGTGTCGATGTTTTGTGTTGCGGCTTTTTTGGGTGTTTCTTTTCTGGATGAACCAGCCTCTCGGTCACACTCGACGAGAGGAGGGACTTCGAGGTGGGGCTGGTAGGGTGGTGGTTTGTTATATCATTCTCACGCCGTGGTGTTTGCCCGAGTAACAACGTGTTGACACTTGTTCGCCAGTGAAAGTGCGTCGATTGGTTCTAGAGCAGGGGGGTGTACTCGTGCCTTCGGGTGATACCACACAAGAGACTGGAGAAAATGCCGCGCGTCCACGGAGGAAATAGAAAAACACATTGTGGGAGCTCTCGCTTTTACTCGTCTGTCCCCCCCACTTTTTTTTGCGGCCTCTCTTCTGCTGTTCCCCCCCCGTTTGGAATGGCAAACCAACGCTCGTCGTCAACAAGACTCGTCCCTTTTCGTGTACTGCTTGAAGACAAACTGCTTGTGTTCCCTCTGCTCCTCCGTACCTGTACATACGGCATGCCCGTCGCCCCCGGTGCCTTCACGCGCAAGCTCAACGTCCTGAACCCCGTCATGCTGCTTCGTGACAGAAATCAATCACGCTCACCCTCAATCTCCCCCGCGCCGCTTTTGCCCCACGACGTGTACGGTGTTTTTTTTGCGCCCAATCAGGTTGGGTCGGAGGTTGTGCAGAACCTGGCTGACAGAGCCAGCGAGAGATTCAACGGCTTGCTGTCTGGCGGCAGCGGCGGCGGCAGCGGCCGCGACGCTGGGCGATGATCCCGGGGCCCTTTTGGGGGTTGGGGACCCCCCTCCCCCCCCCCCCCCCTCGACTAGCCGCACTAAATTTTACAAGACGTTGGGGGTGTATGTGTTGCCCACTTGGCCTCGGTAGGGGAGAGGCAACCCGGATCATGGCACGGCTGCTGTAGCTTTCAAGTTTACCATCAAGCGTCCGTCGCATCCGTCTCTTGGAAGTTGGGACGGGGCTTGCCCTGTTTTTGGCGGACTGTTTAGGCTATGGCAGCTGCGGTACGCGACCGGCATGTGGGGGTCCCGGCGAGCCGCTTCTAGAGGCATTCCGGCAACCGCTAAATGACGGGATGGAGCCGGCAGAAACCCCGAAAGTTTTGGGGGTGGTGAAATATGTACGGAGCCAAAAGGCGGCAATCAGGTGTGTTATCGGATTCTCTATATAAAGTAGCGAAGAAGCAGAACACTTTTTCATTCCGTTGTCCGTGTTGGTGCTCTGGGCCGGCCGCGTTTGTTGCAGAATGTGTGGTGTGTGAATGCGGTGAGCGTAAGGACGAATGTCGCCTTAGATTAGCAACAGGTTACTATATTACCAAGGACATTGTAGAGATAAAAATGGTACCGAACCAAGCGTGGGTGGAGGAGAGAGACAGAGAGGGAGAGAGGGAGAGACACAGAGACAGAAGGGGGGGGGGGGGGTAGGTGGGAGTGGTTGGGGTAGTGTGAACTACTGTGGTGTACCTTTGCCAACGAGAGAAGCATGGAACAAGGGTGAATTCTGCGCCTATGAGCAACGCACAACACCGGGAGCGAGTGTGTTGTAGATAACTTTCTCAGCTTTGTCAAACATACATGTCTCCCCTTTTCAACGAACTCGATCTCAAGTGCAACATGTTCTGTGTATCGTCGTGTGCTTCCCGGAATGTTGCACGTGTCCAAAAATTCGAGACGCTGGGTTGTAATCTTCTTGAGATGATTTTTCAGCGGGCTCGCCTGTAAGTAGCTGAAGGTGGGTTGGGGTAGGAAAGGGAATGGCCACACCAAGGAAGACAGATGCAAGGCACCAGGATGTTGCTTTTTGGTTCTCGGCGGTTTCGAATAGGACTGCGTGCTATTTTCGTCACCCTGTGTATGGAGTACTTGCTACTCTACCTCAGGGCGATGTACAACCGTGGACTGACAAACATAGTAGCACAAACGAAGGGCATCGGGGCTACTTCCTATGTTACACTGGCATATGCTTCTTTCTCTTTGCCTTGCACTCTTGTGATTTTTATTTTTCCGTAGCTGAAACCAAAATCCTACTCGGATTGGAATTCTACGCCTTGATGGTGGCCATCAAACAAAACATTTACCTACGAGTGAAGATGCGAGGAGGAAAGCCCGAACCTCGCTCCGGCTCTTCAATGGAAAGCTCAAAACGCGCGTTATGCCCCAACCAGAGAGAGCTCGGAAACGGTATCCGCTGCTCCAACTCCGGAGGCGTTCGAAGCACGACGTGTACACACCCTTGCTTGCGGTTCTCTATCCGGACGAAGAAGGCCGACACTTTTGGTCGGGTCCAGTGTAGAAATCACCTAACCCCGCCCCCTCCATCGAGCATAGGGCGAAATCGGTTCTCGGTTGTTCTGGCTTTTTCAAATGGAAGGAAAAAAAAAAGTAGAGCGGTCGGCCATTTTTCTCGTTCTTCCTCGCACAGAGGCCGTTAGCGGTTCAATCCAATCCAATCCAATCACAACAACGCCATCGATCCCCGGGTGATTGTGCCCGAGGGGTGTTGGTCGGGGGGTGGGGGGACATTTCGTCCTCATGTTCATGTAAGGATGCCGAAATTCCGATGTCAGAGGACGGAAGTTCATCACCTTAACCTTTCCCCCCTAACAACAAAGGATGACGGATCGGACGCGCTGGGTTTCTGGGGGCACCGCACGATCAAAGTACATATTAGGGTGGCGAGACAGTAGCTGTGTGGAAATACTCAAGTTTCTCCCCTTCCAGCAAAAAACGGCGGCGGCGGAACACCCGGCCGGCGAAAGCCAACGCCGATCGCAGTCATTTTTGCAACCCTAGAGGACGCGCACGCGTAGACGACTACGTGTGCCGACCCCGCGCACCAACAACCCCAAAACCCACGCTGTAACGCAAGCGCGGAGGGACCTATTCTACGTCTCTGCGA